TTGTTGGTTCCTTGTCGTTGCTGGATCTCCATGCTGTTTTCGTTCTACTTCGTCTCTCCCTGGCTCCTCGTGATTATTTCCCCCCGATGTCTCCATGGTTCTGGTTGGGTTTACATTATTACCGGTAGTTGTTTTTTGGATTCCTGCCTTTGTTTACATTTTTTTCCCCCATTAAACTGCAAGAAATCTCCCCAGCCTCTCTGCCTCTGCATTTGGGTCCTCAAACCTCAACCAAACGTGACACTGAAAAGCCCCATGAACTATAGTTGTTTATGTGTTTATATAGTAGAACAAAATTAATTAGATTAAGCTTTTTTTGTATAAATAGTTTAGGACAAAAATAAGATATACGAGGAATTTAGAAAATACTTTTTTTTTTTTTTTTTTTTAACTGTATAGCTTTTTTTGACAAGGAAAACAAAGGATGAAAATCATCCATGTGTCTGTTTATCCTTCATCATTTTCATCCATCCTGCTCGGTAATTAAAGACACTAAAACAATTTAATCCAAAAAATTCTTTTACATAAAAAGAGAAAAATAAGATGGTTTGTCTTTGTGGCCATCTCTTGGTTGTTTTTTGGATTCTTTTTTTTTTAACCACAAACTTTTGATGTTTGCCTGTTCTCTCTTTCTGGCATGTCACAGAGCAGGTTCTCACAGTGTGGGATTGGTCCAGAAAGTGTCAAGTGTTCACTGGGGACCTGCGGGCTGCAGAGCAGTGTCAGCTGTCTCATTTACTGCCACTAATTTCATGGAAGTGACCTGGTTTGGGGCACAAGAGGAATGGTATGTGTTAGATTTACACATGTCTAAAGAGACCTGCAAGCCTGCACGTTTATATGCCATATGGTAATTATTTTCAAGACCGCAGCCTGCAGTTTAGTGAAACAAATTTTCCCACGAATTGTTTTGTTATGGTCCATATACCTCAGAAATCTTGTCTTTGCATCTACATCTGAAAATATTTTCTCTGAGGTAAAAACTTAATAATCGTTATTGGTTTCTATGAAGGGCCTTACATCTGCTTTAGAATTAACATTTTTAAGGTTTAAAGGAGAAAATGGTTTACTACATATCATCTGTTGAACAGTGATTATGACACAATTTTATCAGTTTTTCTGATAAGAAAAAAAGCACAAATACATTTAGAACTTTGCCTTACAAAAAATGTCATTTTGTTTTTTTCCTAACAGAGTGCATATCATGTGTGCCTATATGACCGTGATAAGTCATAAGTTAAGTAATCATTAGCATGTGGTCCTTACCCAAACCCATGAAATCCAACAAGCCTGTTTCTTTTCCTCCTTCAGCTTCTTATCCCTCTCCCCACCTCTGCAGCTTGTGGCTGTGTGTGTGGGTGTGTGTGTGTGTGTGTGTGTGTGTG